TCATAAATAAGATAAATAAATAAATGTGTACCATAACGAGACAGAAACAAGATAGGAGACCAAGTCATAAATAAGATAAATAAATAAATGTGTACCATAACGAGACAGAAACAAGATAGGAGACCAAGTCATAAATAAGATAAATAAATAAATGTGTACCATAACGAGACAGAAAAATAGGACAGATGACCAAGTCATAAATAAAATAAATAAATAAATGTTTACCATAATGAGACATAAACATAAGACAGATGACCAAGTCATAAATAAGATAAATAAATAAATGTCTACCATAATGAGACATAAACATAAGACAGATGACCAAGTAATAAATAAGATAAATAAATAAATGTTTACCACGATGAGACAGAAACATAATAAGACTGATGGCCAAGTCATAAGATAGGATAAATAAATGTTTACTACAGTGAGACAGAAGTCAACTGAAGCACATGACATTGCATCAAGTACTTTTAAAATACTACACAACTCGTTATTTAGCTGCCTGGAGTTTGATGACTTGGAAGACACCGTCGTAATATTAGAGCCAGAACTCCTATTTTTTTCTATCTGTATTGTTAAGCTTCTGAAGACACATAATAATTTGAAAACACCTCAAAATGTAATGTTACGTGGTGTAACTCACAATAACAGCACCCCCCCCCCAAAAAAAAACAACAAAAAACACACACACACACAAAACCCACAAAAAAAAAACCCAAAACAAACAAACCTTATCCACTAGAGTCGATTCATTATTGCAAAGACAACAGCGAGTATTTTAAAAATAGACGTATTAGATGATAATAATAATAATAATGATAATAAACAAAATAAAATTAATAATCATTGTTATATTAGACATGCTTCTAATTAATAAGCTAGTAGGCCTACATGGAGAGGCCTACATTTCTCACATGCTCAACAAAGCACCACACAGACAGAGAAGAGAGTCAGTCAAAGTCAGAACCTGTAAAGCATTAATTTACCGCCGACAAATAGTAAGCTTAGTACAAGACAAACAACGAACGAGCCAAGGAAAGCAAATCATTCATCATTAGGACGAAGCAAATCATGGCAACTCCAGCAGTTTTATGAAAACAGTAACAGAAGAAGAAGGAATAAAAAGGAATGAGCAAGCTGCGTTCATGTGTGAGAGAGGTGTGATAGTCGACCAAAACACAAAATAATAAATACAATGTTCCAACTGCAACAGTAATATAAACAGGAATCTTAAAAAAATAATAATATAAAAAAAGCTCGCCAAAACATACAACAGACACCAGCAAGCTACAAACTAGCGCGCTTAAAAAATGCGTGAAAAGCTATAATAAATGCTGGCGGCAAAGAAAAAGAAAAACGAAAAGAATTGTGAGGCTGTATAAAAAGATGAGTTGTACTACAGAAACCCGCGATGGACACACGGGAGTTTGTGAGTGAGTTGGTCTAAAGATGTAAAAGAATACCTTGGAGTGCGACAATTTTGTGGTGGAGAGCTGAGATAAAATCTGAAATTGGCAGGGAAGGGAAACAAATAAATCAACAACGATACAGGAAATCAAACACTACTCGAGTTACACGAAAGTGGTCTATGAAGAGTATACGAACACAGACAAGACAATTAATACACGCATAATCGTAGCCTCTAGTGGTGAGGTCATGACGTACAATCGTAGCCTCTGGTGGTGAGGTCATCACGTACAATCGTAGCCTCTGGAGGTGAGGTCATGTGACTAGAGTCATGTGACCGACCACACTCCCTCTCATTGGTTTACATTCTTTCATTGGCTTGAAGGAGAAGCCACGCCGTGAATGCCTAAACAGAAACATACCTAGTCATTTTCTGAAAGACACTCAAAATTCTCTTCAAATTCAAAAGAAAAATGCATAATAAATATATAAAATAAATAATCAAAGCTGCGATTCACAGGTTGCAAAGTGACTTTCAGAATCAGCACCAAGGATCAAATACTAACCCTAAATGGAAATTAAGTCCTTGACACCCCC